CATTTGGCACAAAAAATCCCCCAAGACGACTAGGATCAATACTCCTGGCAAAACAGAATTCCGCGAACCCTGAGCAGGCGCTGCATAGCGGTTTCCCCGAAGGGGTGCCCTTATGAAGGGCCCTATCAAGCCACAACTTTACGTCCCAAACGCCCACCACGCCCGCCCGCCCACAAATGGACGACCGTTCCTGACGCTCGTATTCATTCATTTGCTGAGCAAATTATGAAGCGAAGGGATTGGTATGAAGCGGCGTGATGCTGCATGCATACATGGGTACACATATGCAGCCGTATCTTCGGTAGCGGTGATTGGTAAATGCCTACGGGAAACTCGTCCGAAATCGATTTTCAAGTCACTGAGAACGGAGGCTTTTTCTTCGCAGGATTTTGACCGTTTCACTCCGTTCTTTCGCCATTTCCCCACTATACAGCGCCCTACTAGCATTTTAGGCTAAGTAGGAAACCATCGTGCCAACTGCCTTTAACAAAGGTTTCTATCATATGGGGACATTGGAGCGGTCACGTTACTCCTTATTTGGCTAGAAAAAGGATTTTTGATTTTTGGGCAAAGAAACGTGCAGTGGAACGATTAGAAGTTTTTTTAATGTTATTGCCGACTATTTGTGAAGGAATCCCCCGGTTGCAAAGCCTAACGTGTCCGACGAACTGCACAGATCAAGGCAAACCATACAACACGTCACATGGTCGCGCGATATCTTCGTTTGGAGGTTCTTTGATGTCGCAGTGAAATGCATGTGATATGGTCGGACGAGCGAATTGCTACGTTTATTTTTAATTCTCACTGGCCTCGCGGCAGCCCTGCACTAACGTGAGGCTGCAAAACCCGATGACAATCTAACCATAACGATGTCATGTGCAGCCTTTCAGTTTTCATGTTTTCTCGGAAGCTGTCTGCAAAGGTGCAAGCAAGGGTTCTTTTGATGGTGGAAGACCAAATTCATTTATGTTTGGAACGACGTCAGACCCCAGCAACGACGACGAACGACTTCATTTTGTCAAATCCCATGTCGACTTGTATGTTCGTTCTCGTCTGCCTCTGCTGCATACGGGTGCTGGGTGCATTCTAGTCCGGCGTGACGCAAATGCAAGTGTGATGTATTGCCGATTGCAAGAGAAGAGGAGAATTAGAGGGTTGAACAGTGCGGGAGAGAGCGTTAGAGGAATGGAGACTGGGAACGCGTGCTGACTGCTAGGAAAGACCTGTCGTGTTGGTGGGCGGCCGAGCTGGAGAGACAGAGAGGAAGTTGTTTGGGACGTCCCTGACACGTGGTTAGAGGAATCGCCGTGCACCGAAACGCACGTGCGTGACTGCTCGTGTCTGCCGCACTCCAATCAGCCCACGACATTTCCCAGAGCAAAGTCCGCTACCCTACATGACATAATCGCCACCTCCACAGCGTCGCCCCGTCGCGCCCCGCCGCAACCAAAGCCCGTCCGTCCGTCTCAGCACCCTCGACATCGCCCGACTACGTACCCAACTACCAGCCATGCCGGTGCTTATACACCCACACATCCACGCACACACACAGTTATACAGATGCGTATAAACTATAACTATTCTGCAGAAAACTCCATAGTAGCAAACTCCAATAAGTCTAAGGCGGCGACGTTTGCAAGTGGTGGCGCTGAGTCAGGTCGATAGCAGAGCGCGCCAGCAACATTCATTGGATTCCACTGCGGAAATCGTTGCAAGCAAATCACGCTACATTAACAGAATGTCTGCACTCGCATAATTGTAGGGGGAGCGAGAAGGACAATTACGCTTTACACACACATTGATGGCGGCAAAGGACATGTGAGACTTTCTCAGAACCCCCACGTACACATACACACATAGACCCTCATTTAATGTGGCATGACAAAGTTCATCAACACCACATGCTCGTCACGTTTGATTAGACCTAGAGCTCATGATTGGAACGGAGACAAGCAGCGGAACCGCACCGTTAGCAAGGCTACCATCGCAAAGGCATAAGGCACGATAAGTTGGTACTCGGTCTGAAAAGGTACCAGAGGTGCTACATAGTGGGGAAAATATGGCGAAAAAACGAAGTGGAATCTTACTGGTAAGGACAGGTAATAAACAATCTGAACGCATCCCAGAGGAAGGGATCATCCCATACGTTCCCGCCATGAGCCCTCGAGTATTACGTAATGACTTTTACATAACACTGTAAATACTATTGAAGGCATAAGGCACGATAATACGGTATTCGGTCTAAAATGTTACCAGGGCTGGAATATAGGGGAGCAAATGGCGAAAAAACGAAGTGAAACGGTGGAAAACTTGCTGAAAAGCCGTTGTTCTACACTACTTGGGAAGCAACTTTGGGCGAGTTTACCGTTGGCATTGTGCCAATAACCACTACGGTAGATACAGTATACACTCATATATCCACGCAACACAACAGCCGCTTCATATCAGTATTCTCGCTTCATATTGTACTGTCGAAATAAAGGCGATACGAGCATCAGGATCGGTCGGACACGCTGCAGGACGGTATGTTCGTCGGTATGTTCAAGCGTCCGGGTCAGTGTGTTGCAGCTTGATAGGGCGCTATAAGTGTACCTTCCTTGGCCACGCAGAGCCTGCTCATTGGAGCAGAAATCTGTCCTGTTAGCAGAGTAAAGCATCGTACAACATGTAGGGGGTCGTACATGTAGGGTGCGTAGAACATGTAGGGGGTCGTACTTTTCCTGGTCGTACTGGTACCCTCTCTCTAGGGGGAGAGGATGTACTGACACCACCGTTTCACACATTACGATGCTGTATCCTACCTGCCAGGCTTATTAGCCCTACTCGTCCTGTGGATTTATCGTGCCACTTGCCTTTGAGATCATATTTCTCCCCCCCCCCTCTCCTCATATGGTGATATTGCTCGCACGTTCATTGTGATGAAACGTGATTCAAGGCAGTACTAAAAACTAGAACCGGCGCGATTTTATTGATTGTTGACATTGCGCCTTCTTAGCACGTTCTTAGCGACCCCTTCCTTTAGACCCGTATATAACATCCAAGAAGGAAAGTAGGGAAAAGATTGAAACTGGTAAATCAGAATTAACTCAGTTGGATCACACCTGGGTGGTCCAGCACCTCAGGAGTCCACTATTTCAATGAATCACTCGATTCCTTCCCTATTTAGTAACACCACCGCCGCATTTCTTCAACAGCATAACCTTGAAAAACTGGTATACTCAAGTATTAGTGTGTGCATTGTGTGCACGTGTGTGTGCGACGGATCATGCAATGGGGGTTTTGTTGTCTTTAGGTGAGTCTGAACTAAATAACGAAAACAGTACGAAGTCAACCCCGTCCCGTTGTCGTCGTCAGACATTCACGTGATTCAATCGTGCAATGTACTCTCTCGAAAACGAGATTGCCGATCCTGACAGGCAAGCAGAGGCGATGTAACCCCCCGGCGCCGCATGTGTGCACGTGGAAATGCACTCTCATTATTATCATGTGAATTTTGAACGCTCTATTATAGACCAAGAAGAAAATAATGATGTTCTAAATGAAATACATTCAATCAGAGCCACCCGACAACCAACCGATCAGACTCACATCTCTCTCTCCCACTTCATTGAACGTTTGTCTTTTTATAGTAATCATGCAACGTGATTGAATGGCTGACTGGTATCTGCAGAGGAATGATGGTGGGGAAAAAATTGGAACAGGTCGAATAACTACTGTTCCAACTAAACATGGTACAATTTGAACAGTTTCAATGGACTGGAAATGGTAAATGATGCGAAAATCGAGCGTTCATTCGGTTCAGGACACGCCCTGGTGCTGGGGATTTTTCTGGAAAGTACGATCCTCTTAGGAGAATTTCACCGGAAAAGCGATCCACTTAGTTTCTTCCTCTGATATGACCCCCCCCCTCCCAATCCATCCTACCAGCCACTTTTCCAGTTTTTCCGCATTTTCCCGGTGCAGGACAGGGCACATCATTGGGTGGGGATTTTGCTGGAATCCGTACAACCTCGCCCCATCGAGCGGTTGAGGGATGGGGACAGGTATGTAGCACAAGTGAAACGGGAAACCGCGAGGAAATAGCAAGTAAGGACCTCCCTCCCGTCCCAATCTCCCCATTCTACCTACCACATCCTTAGATTTCCCCAACTTCCTACAAGTTCCGACCATTTTTCCGAAATTTCCCGGAAATTCTCCTAGTTTTTCCTAAAAATTTTGCTCATACGAGGAAAAACCACGACAAGTAAACAACCTCTCTCAGAAGGCCAGAACAAGTACGACCCCCTCCCAGTGGTCACTAAATAAGACCCCCTCCCACTGCGGATTCCCCAACACATACGACGGGTATGATTCACTACAAAATTACTTCCATAATGACACGACTAGCAGAACTGCTACCCCTCGTGGTTCCTGAAAGAAGCTCTGCAGTTTTTTTTTATACATTCCGCTAAATAAACACCTGTAAGTTGCTGTTTATGGACTAGGGAGATGTATGTACCTGCAAGTGTGTGTGTAGGGGTGTGCATGAGTGTGTACGTGTGTGTACGTGTGTGCATGTGTACAGACGTGGCCATGAACGATTGCCGGGTTCGCCGACCATCCGAGTACACGAGTCGCGCTCACACTGTCTGTCTTCGTCGTTCTGTCGGGCGTAGCTCACTCTCCCACACTCGCTCTCACTCACATACACACACACGCTGTGTGGGGTCGTCGTCGACGCCGCCGCACGTGCACGTGCGAGCCACATGTGCTATTGGGGGCCGTTCTCTGGCGCGTCGTCGTCCCACCCTCCCCCCACCCGTCAGTTTAGGCGATTGTCGCACGCACATTCGCTGCTGCACACTCTCCCCGCTAAATGGACGCGCAACTAAGCATTGAAACGTTACTGACCGCTGCTAGACTACTCGATGGTGGAGCACATAAAGTCAATTCACTTATTCAACCCTTATCCACTGTGCAGAATGCTGCTGCTACTGCCGTTACTGCACAACAACCCTCGACGTTCCCACCACCGTCGCTCACCGCTTGTCAATCATTAAATCGTGGTTCGTTACTTTCTTCGTTCGTTATTCATGCATTCCTTACTTCAAGATTTGAGATTTCTGTCAATTAGATAGCTGTTCATCTCCAGATTGTCCTTGTCCTCAGCCAACTCTCTTACTAACTGGTTTCAGATGCCGTACAACCAGAACTCAGGGATGTTTTTTCGAGGAAAGTACGTGTAGAACGAAAGTTATGTTCGGCTTCAACTAGTGCCCAACCTTACTGTATTGCCTCATCACCGCGTAAGAACTCGACCAAACACAGTCGGTGAGTGGATGAATCATCGTTAGACCAATCAACGGGCACAATTATCCCCTCTATGATTTGATGATTTTCAATGAAACATCATTTTATTCGTCAATGATGAGGGGAGGGGACCCAACAATGTACATTGTAATCTGATAATCAATCACAAAGTTATACGATTTAATGTAATGGGTTTTGTAGAGCTGCTCACAATGAGCTGGAGAAGACACGTCGGGCAAATTTGCGTGGATGTCTGGAAACGTTAAAAACTCTTGTGCCACCAATTGCTGATGCATCTCGTAATACAACGCTGGCATTGCTGACGCGAGCCCGTGACCACATTAAGGTAAGTCACACGTGATAATCACGTGACCATACAACACCGGTCTTTGCTAAGAATACCACCAATCACATGACTTTGCACGTCAAATCGAATGCACTTGATTCGATCACATTAAATAGCTAGAAAATTCCTTTTCCAACATTGATAAGGAATACATTACTTCCAAGTACGTGATGATAAATATTTATAGCAACTCGAGCAAGGAAATGCGGCGTTGATGCAAGAACGTGATCGACTAGAAGATCAGAAATCATTGCTTCAAAATGAGCTTGAACGCCTAAAAGAAGGCACATCTCAGTCAACATCACCTCGTCCTTCGTCTACAATTTCTCGTATATCACGTGATTCACCAGTATTTCTTGAATATTCACCTTCATCAAAACCATCACAATCTCCTCAACCAATGATTATTGACCCAGTTGCTGAAGGTTTACTTCCTGCATTGCCGATTTGTTATCCGCGGCCCTCGCTTTATCCCTACCTCGATCTCACCACTACTTCTCTGCCGCGTACCTCGACATTCGAGGTTTCATCGTTCTTGCCGATTCATCTTCGTGTATGATGTTCACCATCACTGTAATATTTCACTGTGTCATCAATAAACTATTTGTAGGAAAAGGTTCGTTTTTTTCCTCCTGGAGACGTTTCCGGTTGTTCAAACCCGATCTGATAGGGGGAAAGGGTGACTAGTTGAATGCAGGGTACAGCATCGTGATGTGTGAAATGGCGGTGTCAGTACGACCCCACCCCCAGGGCAGAGAATCCTGGTGCCCCCCTCTGGCTCTCAATTGTTTGCTGAGAAGAAGGATTAGATACGTAACGATTCCTAAGCGCTTGCGGCCACCTTATGATTCCATGGAAAATTAGCGGTGGAGCAGGTCTGTTGGCCATGGAAATTGTGAGGCTTTTTCTGGGGGTGATAGCTTTTTGGGTGTAAGGCTTTTGAGAAACAGGAAGGCGGCTTGTTCAAGCAATGTCTCTACTGTTGCGTTTTCTACCTACTCGCAATCTGAATCTTCCCCCGTTCGTGAAATATTTCGGATGGGTTACGGACGCGTTGGTGGTTAATCACGAGCGGGTTTTATGCTTCTGCGAACGATAACTTCTTTCAAAGTCAATCTTGTGCAAAACTAGGAAGGCCACGGGAACGCCCAATATTTCCTCTTCCCAACAAGCGCTATATGTGCCTGAAGGCCCGCTAGTTAAGAAGATATTTTAGATGGGTCTTGGGCCGGGCGACATTCTGGCCCTCCCAGAAGCCTGATTCCTTCTGTACCGCCTGGCTCCTCATTCGCGAACTTCAATATGCCTTCAAAACACATATTCCCGTTGAACTGAGTCAAAGCATAATTTGGTTATCATCGATCGATTTGGTCCGAGTGTGCGCCGTGCATTACGCTTCTGCGCAGAAGTGGTGGCAAGGTGTAACTTCTGATTTTAGGTGATTTTTGCCCATGCCCATCCGCGGCCCTCGATTTATCCCTACCTCGATCTCACCACTACTTCTCTGCCGCGTACCTCGACATTCGAGGATATTTGTCAGGGTTTGGAAGGGTCGATACGCACGAATCTGTTCGAGATGTATTGCTTAGTCATCTACGTACTTACGAGTTCATGCTAACTATTGATATTGCTAATCAATTGTTTTGATATTTTGTAGTCTTCCTTACATCCGGGTCCTCTGCAGCTTTCCGTCCGCTCCATCAAACTTAGCGATGACACTTTTGTGCTGTTTGGTGCTCACCGACCCTGCGTTTACGACCCCCCCCCTCCTCCCAGCGGCCAAGTACAACCCCCCCCCCCGATGGGTTTCACTCAACGATGCTGGTTGACTGGATTGTCTGCTGCTGTCTGGAATGCCACATTCGCTTGTCCATTGCTACAAAGCGAAAGGTTGTAGCGACGGGGGGAGAATTCTGAGTGCACATTTCCTCACGTATTGCCTCGCCCCGTCTGGTCGCGTGCTATCTCACCAAGTGTCGGGGCCGCCGTCCGCCACGTGCACATGTTTTTCATGAGCGATCCATGTGGACATAAACGCATTCGCGTCACCATCACCGGCGGTACGGAGCGCGCTGCTTGTTTATGTAAACAACACACACGCTTTGCACAGAGTATTGACTTCTGACCAAGGGGTTATTATGCTGCAAACCTTGTCGTACCCTTTAGGTGTGTCTGAAACAGCAGAGCCAAGCCGAGAGGTGCTTATGGTCAGGCTGAATGCAGCAAAGCATGACTTTGCGGACTGATCTTCGATCATCACCAAGAGATAACTTCAGCGACGGCTCGCTCTCAGGCATTCCCCTGATTGTCATGGGGTCAGAGAGCTGCGTCATCACGATGGAAAAGGGCAAGTTGGAGCGCGAGCGCGGTATCGGCAAGAAAACATGGAGCTTGTTTTCGCGCAGAGACGAGGACGGCCGGTCGCGGCCAGTCGAAGATGTTTTGCAGCCGTAGTGGAGGAGAGCAGACGAGGGAGGGGGGACCCCTCCGCGCTGCAAACCCTCCTAACAGGAGATCTATTCACGTTCGCCAGCTGCACGTGTACGAATCAAACAACATGCGCAAGCATAGCGTTTCGGCTATATACGATTGTCGTAGGACAAATTTAGCCCTAGTGATAAAAGCAAAGGCAGAACGCATTCATTCCATTCATTGCTCTCTTATCAGGCTTGAACGGGCACGACTTTTTTGCTGATGGCTCCTCTGCTTCTCTGCCTATACTACTATTTTAGGATTGATCAAACAGGGCACATCATCGTTGGGGATTCCCCAACTCGGGAAGGAGGGAGGGGGCGTCGTATTTGCCTTCTGAGAGAAAGAGAGAAATTTGCGGCATTGGGAAAAATTCTTCCCGGTTGTCGGCTTTTGGCGCTTTTTCCCGTTTCACATGTGCTATATATCCCCTCCCCTCCCCCCCCCCACCCCACCGTCCTATCATCAGAGTAGGGCGTAGTATCAAGGAGGGAATGGTCGCACAGACTCGACCAATAATGTGCCCTGAGTGGAAATGAGACTAGAAAATGGTGGAGGATACTACTTCTACTTGGCTGATTATGAGGTCAGTTATTGTCCTTCCAGAGTATGAAAACAGCTAATTCCGCAAAAACTGGTGGGTTGGATGGGAAACGGTGGGTCGCATTTTCCGAGAAAAAATTTTGCAGCTGCAGGAGGTGTCCCTGAACTGGATGAACGCTCGAGTTTTGCATCATTTGCCCCCTCCCCTCGCCTCCTCCTCGACAGCAAAGTCTTAGAAAGAGGAAAATTCTCGGGGATTCCTGAAAAAGTGGAAGGAACTTTGGAAAATTTAAGAAGGTGGTAGTGGGAGGGGAAAGAGGGGGATCGTACCTTTCTCGCGGTTTTTCCCCGCTTCACATGTGTTATATACAACCACGTCCTACGTTGGGGAATCTCCAGCGAGGGGGGAGGTCGTATTCGGTCGCGTTGGGGGGGGGAGTCGTAGTTGCTTTCAAGAGAAATTTGCAGCGCTGAGAGAATCCCGGTTATCCCGGGTGTTGGGTTTTGGCGGTTTTTCCGTTTCACATGTGCTTCATCCCCCGCTCGATAGCTAATTTTAGTGGGAGATACCAGAAAATTTCCAAAATTCCGGAAGAACTGGAAGACGTAGTAGTTTGGATGGGTAAGGGGGAAGGTCGTATTTTCCGAAAATGTTTCCCAGAGGCAGGACGTGCCCCGGTTATATAGCCCCTCTCAGGTGGGAACTAGGGGGAGATCATATCAGCCACCCTCTAGCTGGTGAGGGAGGTTGTACAGACTCGACCAAGAACCCACATTAATGATATGGCTCGTGATCAGAAGTTCTCTGTTGTTGATTGAGTTGAGAGTACTGTCAACCTGGAGACCACGTTGACATTACCGTATCATCACGAATTTCAAAATACACTCATGCGGCTTAGGGCCACTTGCAAATATCATTCAGCAGCGGTGCAACGTTTGCTCTGCTCCACTTGTCGGGCGGGCGAGTCGAAGTGGCGCCCGCGTCATACACCAATCGGATTACGTGCAGAGTGCGGATGAAGGCTCAATTCACGTTTATTATATGCATGAATGTGTACGTTACCTAGCGAACAGTAATTTACTGGGCTAATGACTTGTTTTTTTACTGCACTAACTGCGTCATTTCGTAGGACCTACGATTTCATTCCCCTACACCATCATTATTCCCTTTCCTCATCATCCAATCAAAACGACAAGCGTCAGGCTTAATCCTTAATCCAGGTGGTCCGAGGACATCATTGTTATTGATCGGCGTTCACAATGCATAAACCTTTTTTTACTATTGTAAGTACTCGCGTGTGCACAATGCGTAATGTATCATGCATGGTTTTTTTACGGAACAAAGTTCAGGGCACATCACTGTTGGGGATTTCGCAACAGGGGGTTGTATTCGGTCGCTGGTGGGAGAGGGGTCGTCTTGAGTCTGAGAAATTTTTTGATAGTTGATTTTACTTGGTTCACGGACGCTATGAGGGGGAGTCGTATTTGTTCATTTTGGAAGAGGGGAGTGGGGTGCTTGTATTTGCTTTCTAAGAGAAACTTGCGGCGTTGGTGAAAACTTTCCCGGTCGATCACTTTTTGCGGTCTCTCCTGATTCACATGTGCTATACACCCCACCCCCGTTCCCCTCCACCCCCCACCCCGCTCGTCGACAGCAAAATTTCGGGGAAAAAAGTAAATCGGAAAATCCCGGAAAAATCGGAAAAAGTGGCAGGAAGTTGGGAAGATCTAAGAAAGTAGATAGTAATGGGAAGGGGGGGAGGTCGTATTTTCCTCGCGCTTTTTCCTGCTTCAGAGCTATACTCCCCCGCCCTCCCATTTACGGACTCGAGCAAAATCCCTAACTAATGATGTGCCCTGTCAAAGCTTCCCGCACAGGGGTATGAGTGCTTGCAGAGAAAGCGTGGCTTCCACGATCTATCGGTTGTTTTTGTGACCAACTGCTCCCAACGTGCAAATGTGCGTAAACAGCACATCACTAAAAATTCACGGTCGAAAATGAAAAATCTTCTGGTACACTGAACGATTTCGTAATCTCCCATGCTATGAGAGCCTCAACTGTAAAGGTCACGTGCTTAGTGCATGGCGTCCCGTCACGTTTTTTTTTATCGATCGCTCTTTCGCGAGCTGATCAAAAAAACATTTGCACAAAGTTGGACAAGCGCTGAATCATGTTCTGTGAACTCAGAATGGAACGCTGCTGGGATGGCAAGGCAGAATATGAAGGATTACTCTTCGTTGCATGAGAACTTTTTCAATCTTACATCTTTTCAGAATATGATTTACTGCTTCCCAGTACTGTACAAATTTCCGACTATTTCCCTATCATCCTTGGTTTTCCTGCAGGATTTGTCAACCGTTGTTGAGTAAACCATGTTTTACAACCCTTGGAATTTTCCTCAGAAAAAATAAGATCATTTCCAGGGGTCCATTCTTTATAAATATAACGCAGACAGGAGTCTGCTAAAAGAATTTCATCGCTTCACAATGTTAACTTCATTTCATTTGCAGGGTTCTACTTTTTATGGTGGCAGTAGGGTAATG